ACATATCATTAGGCCTTCGCACATTGCGAGCTCCTGAATTCCGTTCGATAGAAATGAATGGAAAAGTCGTTACGATAAAGAAAGTGCAATTTTAAATTTGGATCGCTAGAAACTTTACATTTTTGATTCTTTCGAAACATCTTACTCATGGCGTGACGACAGATAGAAAATAAGGATTCTGTAAAAATGGGGTCAACAAAATTCGCCTAATTTCCCTTCTTTTCTTGGCCACCTGAGCCTAATATGGACTGCTTCATACGTAGCGCATAAACCTTAAAGCATTTTGAGAATCGCGTTGCAGAGGTTTGCTTTAGGAAGCCTGAAATTGCTTCGACATTGTTTATCTGGACGCCGCGGTGAATTCATTCCAGACGGGGTTCACAAACAATTGTCGTATACTAGGTACTACTCGCAAAAGTAGGACTTACGACTGCTTACTGCTGGCTAACGTATATAAAAAAGGATAAAGCATTTGCCGTTGATCAATCCCTTTTTGGGATGCGGCACGCATTCTACTTCCATTTGTACATTCGTAGTGGCGTTTGAATGCGATGTGGCCTATACAATGACTTGCGGGGGCCAGCCGATGTACAAGTCAGTGTTTTTATCCTCCCAGACAACAAGTCTGGTACCAATTAACCGACCCCGGAGGGATGGAAGGCTTGGTTGGCCCGGGCGACTCACGACCCAGGATTTGATCCCCGGACCGCTCGCGTGGTAAGCGTGCCACTTGCCACTACACCACTTCCGCCCGTGAATATGCTTATGGTATTTCAATTATGCTTTTTCGGCCTTACCGCTTTTTCATCATCGTTTCCAAGTCATCGCTTTTGAGGTCACCTTAGACAGGGGTCAACCGTCCATTTCTAGAAGTATGTACAAGTGAGGGAGGTTATGTTTTGCCCGGGGTGGGGTGGGGGGGGGGGTATGGTTAGCGCAGAGACTAGCGGCGAAAATTGCAGCATTCCCTGTACAGGGTGACTGAAAAGTTTTGTCCGCTGCTGGCACCTAGCCGTGGAGTATTTTCGGAATGTTTCGGAACTAGAGAGTTTCGCACGAGTATGGTGCACTCAAGCAGGAATTGTTGTTGCTAAAAGCTCCAAACTCAAGTGAGTAACACCGAAAGGATTGCCGAAGGATTTCTGACGTTTCTGCATAGGATAACCCGGAAATGCAAAAATATGAAAGGATCGAGTTATCGATTAAAAACAGAAAATTGCGACGAAGGTCACATTTGTGATGGGATAAGCCTTCAAGAAGATTTTAGTAAACGCTAACAGACACACTTATGCACTGTGGTGCTTAATTGGCTACACAAAACTAGGGTTAGGGTGTTCTGACGACAGAAAGCCGAAAAACCCGCATATTCAGGAAGGATGGTGTGGACAAAAAAGCGCAAACGAGAAAAATTGTTTCGACTTGGTCGTATACAAAACAATTCAAATACATTTCCGAAAACGTAGATAGTATGGCTTAATACGCCGTCGCCAGCTTTTTGTAAATTCAACGACATCATCAAATCAATCAGCTGCTAGAGGGCATTGTTTGAGGAGAGTTAACTCTTAGACGAGGTCGCAAAATTTTTGAAATCGGTGCAACGCGAAGGTCGGCCCTACGCTCCGTTCCATCTTTCAGTTGTCGCTAAATCCAACAGACATTTTCTGCCACCAAGTAGACCAATGTAACGACGATTCTAAGAAAACTCGCTCTACATAAAATCTTGATGAATAAGTAACCCAAAACCCTAAACCTAAACCTACCAAACCTCGGGTTGGAGCATAATACCGTAGCGCTTGCATTTTTCATTTGCACACAAACGTTTGGAAAAAACCACTTTGCCATTTTTCATGACTTTTACTCTATTTCGCAGAAGAATCACGTAATTCAGAATCTGAGATATTGGCTGGTTCTTAAAGTATTCACTATTCTCTGTATGTACAACAAGAATATGGTCTTAATTTGCGCGAAAGAGGTAGGTTCAATTAGAGCAAGGTTCGATAAGAACAATGGATTCTGAAGAACTTTCGTTTTGACGGTTTTTTTTCTTTATGTGCCCGAAAAATAGCAGCTGTCGAAATGCCGATTTCTGCCGTCTGAATTCCAACTTCCAAGCATTATACAGGGGTGGCAAAAAACGAGACACTTTGCCCATGGCGCACATCATCAAACTTTTCGTCGCACAGGTGCCGCTGTTGATGAAAGTTTTACGGCAAAATATCCCTTAGATGTCCTCCATAAGTAGAAGCAGGCCCTCCTTCACTGCCCTCACCGTCCTCAAAATATGACGTCATCTTCCATCACCGTTGAGCTCAAGAAGGCCTACCGTAATCGTTCCAGCCTGAAGCTGCTACGGAATTTCTTCAATCGGTTAACTGATGGATTGCTTCCTAGGGACAGTAGCTCTGAATGTGCAAGACCCTTTTGACCAGCGTTTCAGATAACGTCGTAATGGTCCATGATCCGTCGAGGACCAGTTGAGCTCGAACCGTGCACAAGGTTCCCATGGCAAATTCTTGTGATGTCCTTGGTGCAGAAAGCTATTATAACGTTTGTTGATAGATTGGGATGTGCTCTTTGATACTAAGTTGGGAGCAGTCGGTTTGAGTTCAGTAAAGTGTGATTACTGCTGTTTGAAATGAGGAGCGAAGTTCTCTTCGTCTGGCCACCCCTGTCTATAAGTACAAATTCAATTTTTAAAAAAACTACAAACAATGTTTTGTAGAGCGGAAAGACTACACTCAAATGGCGCACTCCTTCCTGCTTCACTTGTACTGATCGAATTTATACGCTTGAAAAAAAAACGCTACGATGTTATGCTCCAACCCAATAATTACCACATTGCGTGACAGCTATAACCGAATAATGTAAGCTTGATGGATTTGATGATTCAGCTGTGATAGAGTCAGCGAATGAAGAACGAAAACTACATACAGTATGAGTTTTGTCCACATGTCGTAGTAGTTGTCCTTTGGATCGAACGTGAGATCTTTGTAATACGCATCAAGAAGTGTGTTGTTCATGATCCAGTCAGGAAAAGCGATGTTTTGAACTGAATTGATGCATCATTTAAAAAGGAATAAAACCTAATGGAAACCACCCATTTCAAAGTAAACTTGAGAGAGACTGTGTGATCATTTCGACTACTCCCTTCCTGATACCCTTTTTCAGCCATTGTCTTTGATTTTATATTGAAGCATGGACCTTATTAAAGCTAAAAGTCTTATATCTTCTGATGTTTTGATTTCAAGTGAGCATTCTCCAATTTCATATGATTCCACAGGTTCGTATGAAGTCTGCTATGCTACATCTGATACCGAATATCAGAAAAGGTCAGAATAGGCACGACTGACCCACTGAGACTCCATCTGTCATACAAGAACCACTCTCACAATTTGTCAGAGCTCCATCATTACAATCGTACAGCAACACTTTACTTTTGGAGTTGTTTCGCATAGAAATTACGGTATTTTTACCAGATTAGTCCCCCGTCAACCGCCGGGACCTTCCTTTCCTGCGCAAGCTTTCTATCCTCCGCTATGGTCCCTTCCTCCTGTGACACCAACACCTCTGGAAGTGACGCGTATGCAACACAATGGTGTTTCATACAGTAGAACACAATCATGATATGACGGTAGATTTTTCGCTTCCCTTCCTCATCCTCCCTTCCTCTCTCCACTGCCCTCCAGCTGCCACTGCAGCACCATGTGGAATGAACGGAAGTGTGCTAAGCAGGTGTTTATATAGCCCTAAGAGTGTTATCACAACTATCCTGCTACAAAACATTGATATCTCAAATCCTGTAAGCTACCCGATTTGTTAGCGGTTTGTTTATCCCATGAGCTTCCTTCTCACTCACTTCATTTTGCGGACGGACAGACACACATACATACATACATACACACACACATACATACAAACCGACACACAAAGTTAGCGCTTTATATAATAGAAGGATACCGTATGAGAAACAGACGAGAGATCGTCTTGAAGGCAGCGATTACTAAAGGTTCCTGAGGGTTTCAAAGTGGACGTGCGGGTGCTCATTGGTACGGCAATTTCAAAAAACGCAGAGAACGTAACGGGCTCCCTTGTGTGACAGTTTTCATTGCGCTCACGGACGGGCAGCGGCTAAGATGGCAGACGTATGGACGAGTTTGTCGCAACACGTTTGGTGGCACCATGCCAATCCATGCTCCAGTCGAGTTGCTCCAGTTGTGCCGCTGCTGGCAACACAGCTCGTCCAAATCACCAACTAAACTAGTGGGCGGATCGCTTTTGGGGCGGAGTGCTTTCGAAGTCCTGCTCAGCAACCAGCGCACCTTTCGTCGTGAAAGCGCCACACCTCGCCTCTGTGACAGCCGAGCTACTGCTTCTTGTGGCGCATTTACAGGGTGGTCCAAAATTATGAGGACCGCGTGCGCGCGGTCATATCCACTTTTTTCCGAGTCGCTCCATTTTCATCTCCTTTTCTGTGCACTATGTGAAAGGGTACAATGTCTTCTTCCTAATGAAACCAAATTTCATGAAGTTCTCAAAACTAGTGAAATAACTACTTCACTTTACGTCAGTCCTCAAATTGAACTCACTAGGGGCTCTGGCACGTTACATCTAGCGGCAGTCTAACTATCAGGGAAGCTCTTATGAGCAACTCTTCAATAAGTTTGGAACCACCACAGATGGAAAATTCGGAGACTCGAAAGTTACAGTTACCACCAGGATAATTATCAGATGCAGAAACTAGGTCTCCCCTTGTCGACTTTCGTACTCCCAAAATGAAAAAATTGATGTGAAAACCCAGCCAGACACTCCACATCTGTAGTGGATAGAAAGCCACTCGAGTAGTCTACTTGGGACTTTTTACAGGACCGAGCACCCAAGAATAAAGCAAAAATTCTCTAAAAAGCGATTTTTCGAGTTCGTTGCTTTCGAAGAATTGTTACAATGGAACCTTCCACCTAATAGCTCTAGATTTCTGTATTTTACACCCTGGAGGCAAGCGCAAATAAATGCCCCACAAAACTTGATTCCCTGAAGAAAGCAGAGCAGAAGGCCTGGCTTCATCTGAAGGCTCGTGTAAACACGACAGTGGCAGATCTCAATTCTATTCTGGAATTACTTTGAAATAAGAGTTACAAACACTTCCCTGAAGTTTGTTTGTTCCATCAAGCTACTATGCGTTTTTAACGACACAATGTCTTGGTCCTCATAATTTTGGCCCACCCTGTACTTTCCCGACGTAAGACTTCTTTACCGTAATTGCGTCCTATGAAGGCAAACTCCTTATTAGCCCGATTTGTGGGAAGGATACCACAAGGGAAACAGTAAGGTCCGTGTCTACCTGGATCACTCCAGCTTCGTCGCAAAAATGCGCTGTTAGGGCGCTAATCCTTACGGGCCTGCAACGATCGACCCCCGTTGCAACGCGCAATGTCAAGGTCTTAATGTGAATGTTCTCAGAGATTTCTCTCGCCTATCTTTCCACATTCAGGTCGTTTCGCAGCTCACTCATCGCCAACGAAAGAAGCAGTCTTATCACTGCTTTTATTCTGGGGCTTGCCTTTAATTAAGGTCTTCTCAAATTGAATGAAGGTCTAGCCTGTCGGTGGGTAGGCTACCATGGAGCAACTCAGATGGATAGGAAGTAAGGCGCGAACCAACCCACCATGAATGCTTTGAATGTCCTGTTACAGGGAGTGGATTTGGGGATGGGCCGTTGTTGCTGCAGCGCTATGTCGAATTATGTATATTAGGTTGCTTGGAGAGTCTTCCCCGATTATCAAGGTCGAATAAAAATGAAAATTTCCAAAACAGCAAGTGGGTTTATTGCTAAAAGCAAATCTGGAAGGAAATCCGGAGCACCAGCAATTACAGATCAGGAACGATGCCGTTTTATCAAGAAATCAAAAATAAGGTGTGGCGAATAGGCAACGCCATTTTATGATAACCGCTGAAACCGTCGCCGTTTCCTACACGATCTCCTGCGCGTTAAACGAACGCGACCTGATGGTCAGACTTCTTCACGAACGTTCAAACAAAAAGAACGATGAGCTTATGAGTCCTTCAGGCGA